AAAATGTCAGAGTGACACAGAAACTCCCTTCCAACAAGTTTGGCCATAGAAAACTGCCGAAGAGCTTTATTCCTTTTCCCTTTATATGGATGAATCATCCTGGGAAAACTGCTGACACACAACCCCCCTTTTCTTTGAGCTCATTAGCTTTATTTTACTCAGTTCTCAGACTAACAAACTCAGTACGCTTTAGCTATTCCTGTAAAGTAGGCAGCCAGCTACCAGACTGGTTTACAGATACCAGGATGGTTGATTGTCTTTAGCTGATCCATCATGAGCTCATGTCTGACTAGCCAAATTCCCAGGAAGGGTTGAAGCGATGTCAGAATCAGCAGTCTTTCATAGGAGCTGGGTAGTGAGGGGATTCTAATCTCCATCTTTCTGTCTTTGCACATTCTGAAATTCCAAACAATAGGCCCACCACCACCTCGGTCAATCTTTTTTTTTTTTTTTTGGTCGTGGGGGCTGAACTCTGGGCCTGGGCACTGTCCCTCAGCCCTTCGGTTCAAGGCTAGTGCCCTACCATTTGAGCCACAGCACCACTTCCAGCTTTTTTCTGCATATGTGGTGCTTAGGAATTGAACCCAGGGCCTCATACATGCAAGGCAAGCACTCTACCACTGAGCCAACTTCCTAGCCCACCTTAGTCAATCTTGTGGCTTTAGTACATAGCCTTCAAAGTAAGGAGAAATAGAAACTCTGAAGATTCCCTATTATTGCAAACAAAGTATTTATATTCCTGTGAAATTCTTATGTAGAAACCTAATTCCCATGCTGGGAATATGGCTTAGTGGTAGAGTGCTTGGCCTAGGTTCGATTCTTCAGTATGTAAACAGAAAAAAAATCCCAAAGTGGTGCTGTGGCTCAAGTGGTAGAGTGCTAGTCTTAAACAAAAGAAGCTCAGGGACAGTGCCCAGGCCCTGAGTTCAAGCAAGCAAGCAAGGAAGGGAGGAAGGAAGGAAACCCAATTCTAACCAGGCACTGGAGGCTCATGCCTATAATTCTAGCAACTCAGGAGGCCAAGATCGGAGGATCATGATTCGAAGCCAGCCCAGGCAGAAAAACTCAAGAGACTCTTATCTCCAATTAATTTCCAAAAAAAAAGCCAGAAGTAGAGCTGTGGTTCAAGTGGTAGAGTTCTGGCCATGAGCAAAGAAGCTCAGAGAAAGCACGTAAGCCCTGAATTTAAGCCCTAGGACAAACTGACTGTGTCTGTGTTTGTCTATCTGTCTCTGACACACACACACACACACACACACACACACACACACACACACACACACACACACACACACAGATACAGACAAAACTCTAATTGGAAATGGTATCAGGATATAGGGTCTTTGGGAAGCTATTAGATCAGGAGAGTAGTGCCGCATAGATGAGATTAATGTCCTTATATGAGACCCTAGAGAAAGCTTCCTTCTTTCATTCTTCCTCCCGACATAAGAAAACACAAAGAGAAAACAGACATCTACAAACCAGACCTCTCACCATGTACCAAATCTGCTAGCACTTTTAAAGTTCTCTATCTTCATCACTGTGAGAACTAAATTTCTGTTTATTATAAGCCACCCAGTTTATGGTATTTTGTGGCACCTCTGCTTAGGCAGTAGCCTTCTACTTGCAAGAAGCCCCCAATATCTTTTTTTTTTTTTTTTTGGTCGGTCGTGGGGCTTGAACTTTGGGCCTGGGCGCTGTCCCTCAGCTCTTCAGCTCAAGGCGAACGCTCTACCACTTGAGCTACAGCGCCACTTCCGGTTTTCTGGTGGTTTATTGGAGATAAGAGTCTCATGGTCTTTCCTGCCCGGGCTGGCTTTGAACCTCGATCCTCAGATCTCAGCCTCCTGAGTAGCTAGGATTACAGGCGTGAGCCACCAGCGCCCGGCAAAGCCCCCAATATCTGAAGTGTATACTGAGAAGCCCTGACAAGAAGCAGCCCATACATGAGGTGTGTGACACAATCACATACTTCCAGGGGGATAACAAGGATTACATAGCAGTCTAAAATCCCATCTTCCAAACAATACCAGTCATACAAACCTGAGCCAGTTCCGGCAGTGTAAACTGCATGGTTGTCATATCAGTAGCATTCTCTTGCAAGAAGTGCCAAAGCAAATTGAAATATGTGAAAAGTCAGATCCAGATTATAGAGATCCATAGCTTAAAAATATTCATTAATTAACCTAAGGTTTCATGCCTCATATTACTGTGGCTAAGGTACTTAGAAACTGTCTAAACAATGAATAGAAAAAAAGCTATAAGACCATTATAACAAAAATATTTTCTAAACTGTTACCTGATCAAGGTTTTTGAAAAGGAGAATATCTTTGCAAGCGTCCTGAAGTCTGCATCTCTGCTCATCAGTTTTAGGATAAACCACCTGTCGATCCAAACAAAGTCAGGGAAAAGTTCTTATTCCACTTAAAAATCATCCACTTTTGGGCTGGGAAGGTGGCTCAGTGGTAGAGTGCTTGCTTGCCTTGCGTGCATGAGGCCCTGAGTTCTATTCCTCAGCACCACATAAGCAGAAAAAGCCGGAAGTGGTGCTGTGGCTCAAGTGGTAGACCAACAACTGACCAAAAAAAAATCATCCACTTTTTTTTTTTTTTGGTAGGTTGTGGGGCTTGAACTCAGGGCCAGGGTGCTGTCCCTGAGCCTCTTTGTACTCAAGGTCAGTGCTCTACCACTTGAGCCAAAGCACCATTTCCAGTTTTTGAGTGGTTAACTGGAGATAAGAGTTTCATGGAGACTTTTCTGCCTGGATTTTCTTTGAATCTGATTCTTAGATCTCAGTCTCCTAAGTAGCTAGGATTACAGGCGTGAGCCACTGGTGCCTGGCAAATCATCCACTTAAAAAAAAAAGGATTTCTTCCTTCTGAAAAATTTATAAAAGAAATCAAGAGTCTGTTTTCTATAGATTTAATTCTATACAAATACATGGTGAATGTGTAGAGGCAAAAACCTTAAGAGGCGTGAAAAGTGCTACCATGGCGCCACCTACTGGCTGCAAGGCTGGCAGCACATCTGCTATCCCAAGGGAGCCTCAAAAAGTCCCCAACTATTCCTTCAACAAACATTGACACCCACTCAGTACCAAGTACTAGCTCAGCTCTAGGGATAGAGCAGTGAACACATAGATAAAAATACTTGCTTCCCCATTCTATAAGTACATGAAGGTAGGTAGAGACTGATACTCATACTGAGAGGAACTTTTGAGTTATGTGTCAATGAGTGTGGCCAGGTGAGGCTCGTGGCAGATGTGTTAAGATCCCAAGGAAGTGAGTACAACCTGAGGGAGTGAGTCATGTAGATCAGATCTCTGTGGGAAGAGCAAGTGAAAACGAGGCTTTCTTGTGGGAGAATGAGTAACGAGGAGACAGAGTGACTGATTCGGAATGAGATGGATGGGCTGGAGGTGTAGTGCAGGTGGTGGTGTGCCAGCCAAATAGTGAAAGTGTCAGATACCAAGTCTGAGTCCCAATCTCAGACAAAAAAAAAAGGAAGGAAGGAAGGAAGAAAGAAAGAAAGAAAGAAAGAAAGAGGGGCTGGGAAGGTGGCTCAGTGGTAGAGTGCTTGCCTTGCATGCATGAGGCTCTGGGTTTGATTCCCCAGCACCACATAAGCAGAAAAAGCTGGAAGTGGTAGAACACTAGCCTTGAGCTGAAGAGCTGAGGGACAGCGCCCAGGCCCAGAGTTCAAGCCCCACAACTGACAAAAAGAGAGGTGGGAGGGATGTTAGGTGACTGGGCTAACTGGAGGAGAAGGATGCCCAAATCACAGAAAGTATTATAGGTGAAAGAACTGGAACTTTCTTCTAGCAATATGGGGCATATATGTCACACTAATGACCAAAGACAAGATGTAAAAAAGGTAAGAGAAGGGATAGGTTAAGAGAGATGGATGACAATGTTGTCAGACACTTTGTACTCATATACTGTTTTGTGGAATGAGAACTTCTTTGTACAGCTACTTAAAGATTTAAAAAATAAAAAAAGATGTGACTGATGTTTTTGTGTTGTTGTTTTTCTGCTATTTCTGGGGATTGAACTCAGGCCCAAGGCACTGTTCCTGAGCTTTTGTGCTCAAAGCTAGCACTCTACCACTTGAGCCACAGCTCTACTTCCAGCTTTTTGGAGGCTAATTGGAGATAAGAGTCTCACGGAGGGCTGGGAATGTGGCTTAGTGGTAGAGTGCTTGCCTAGCACGAAATGAAGCCTTGGGTTTGATTCCTCAGTACCATATAAATAGAAAAGGCTGAAGTAGTGCTGTGGCTCAAGTGGTAGAGTACTAGTCTTGAGCAAAAGAAGCTCAGGGACAGTGTCCACACCCTGAATTCAAGTCCCACACGGACTTTCCTGCCTAGGCTGGGTTTGTACTGCAATCCTTGAATCTTAACTACGTAAGTAGCTAGGATGACAGGTGTGAGTCAGCCTGGCCTGATTTTTTTTTTTAAAGGAATATATAGTTGCTAATAAGAACAGACCAGAGAAAAGCAAGAAGCTATGCTGACCATTTCAGGGCCAGATGACACCATGAAGGTGTTGACAAATACAGATTTCTGGAAATAGGTCAAAGACAGGACCCATTAAATTCATTAGAAAATTGAATGAGGGTATGAAAAACATAGGGTTCAGGGTGACCTCAAAATTATGGGTACATGCAACTTAACCATGGAATTGTCATGAAGAAAGCTGGAAATGACTATGAGGTGGAAAACAATATTTAAAAGGAAATAATCAAAGCCAGGTGCTGGCAGTTCACACTTATAATCCTAGCTACGCAGGAGGCTGAGGTCTAAGGATTGTGGTTAGAAACCAAGCAGGCAGGAGAGTCTGTGAGACCGATCTCCAATTAAACACCAAATAGTCAGATCCTCAGATTTCAGCCTCCAGAGCAGCTAGGATTATAGGAGTGAGCTATGTTATGATCACTTTCAATGGCTGCAGATTCTCTTGATTTCAATGTAACCCAATTTAGCCCTAGGGAATCCCTTATTCAGGGTCATTTTAGGTTGTTTCCATTTTTCATTATTACAACATGGCCATGATCTCCATTTGTACATCCTTGGAAAGGACCCAACTGTTTATTAGGGTAAGATTTTCCTTTAGGTAATTGCGGTGACAGTTGGCTCGACTATGTTTAAGGGTTCTGCAGCTTCACCATACTTTCAACCATTCCTGCTTTCAATCTATTAGATTAAAAAGAATGGCATTTTATGCCAGGGCCAGTGGTTCACACCTGTAATCCTAGCTACTCAGGAGGCTGAGACCTGAGGATTGTGGTTTGAAGACAGCATGGGCAGAAAAGTCCCTGTGAGACTTCTTTTGTTTGTTTGTTTTGTGCCAGGCCTGAGGCTTGAACTCAGGGCCTGGGCACTGTCCCTGAGCTTCTTTTGCTCAAGGCTAGCATTCTATCACTTAAGCCACAGCACCACTTCTGTTTTTTACTGTTTATGTGGTATTGAGGAGTCAAATCCAGGGCTTCATGCATGCTAGGCTAAGCCACATTCCCAGACCCCTGTGAGACTCTTACCTCCAAATAACCACTCAAAAAACGGAAGTGGAGTTGTGGCTTAAAGTGATAGAACACTAACCCTTGAGCAAAACAGCTTAGGGACAGCACTCAGGCTCTGAGTCCAAGCCCCTGACCATTACCAATACCATCACCAGCAACAACAACAAAATGGCATCTCACTGAAATTTTCATTCATATTTAACTATCAGTACAATATCTAAATATATAGAGGAAGGAAGTTAATGGAAAATACAGTGATTCTTTTTTATTTTTTTTTTTGGGGGGGGGTCCAGTCATGGGGCCTGAACTCTGGGCCTGGGCGCTGTCCCTCAGCTCTTCAGCTCAAGGCTAGCGCTCTACCACTTGAGCCACAGTGCCACTTCCGGCTTTTTTTCTCTTTGCTTATGTGGTGCTGAGGAATCGAACCCAGGGCCTCAGGTATGCAAGGCAAGCGCTCTACCACTGAGCCACCTTCCCAGTCCCAATACAGCGATTCTTATGTGCCACGATTCTAAATAATAATTTTGCTTTTAGTTCTTACCCTTGGATCATTATCTTCCTCTTCTTCATCAGGGTTATAGGTCTCTGCACAGACTAAAAAGAGGGGGGAAAAAAAGAAAAATATGAGTTTACCAAATGTATGGTTTTAGGAAAAATAGGAAGCAAACACTTTTTTTTTTTGGTCGTTTGTGGGGCTTAAACTCGGCCTGGGCACTGTCCCTCAGCTCTTCAGCTCAATGCATGCATTCTACCACTTGAGCCACTGTACCACTTCCGGCTTTCTGGTGGTTTATTGGAGATAAGAGTCTCACAGAATTTCCTGCCCAGGCTAGCTTTGAACCATGATCCTTAGATCTCAAACTCCTGAGTAACTAGGATTATAGGCATGAGCCACCGGCGCCTGGCTATGTATTGTTCTCTGAAGTTAGAATGGTTGTATTTTGAAACATCACTATGAAGCTCATATTCGCCTCCAACTATAACTCTCTGTCCTCTGTCTTCTGAGGGCTGGGGTTGTAAGTTGGCTTGAAAGTTATGAGGATCTTTTTAAAATTCCTTATTTCGAAGGCATTCTCATGAGGCACAGAAGAACCATCTCTTTAAAGATTGGTGATCCTAAATAGGAAACAAAGATATCAACTACTAAGTTCTATGGTAGTGGCAAATACAAATGTGACATTATCCTGCCTCTGATGAGTTATGAAGGAATAAACAATCATGTAGTAATAAATATATATGTGTGTATATATATATATGTATATATATATATATATATATATATATATATATATATAAAATGCATATACAAGAGATATGGAGGTAGTGACCAAGATAATCCATTAAAAGGGCTGGGAAGGTGGCTCAGTGGTAGAGTGCTTGCCTTGCATGCCTGAGGCCCTGGGTTCGATTCCTCAGCACCACATAAGCAAAAAGAAAAAAGGCAGAAGTGGTGCTGTGGCTCAAGTGGTAGAGCACTAGCCTTGAGCTAAAGAGCTGAGGGACAGCGCCCAGGCCCAGAGTTCAGGCCCCACGACCCGACCCAATAAATAAATAAATAAAAGGGCTGGGAAGGTGGCTCAGTGGTAGAGCGCTTGCCTTGTATGCATGAGGCCCTGGGTTCGATTCCTCAGCACCACATAAGCAGAAAAAAAAAGCCGGAAGTGGTGCTGTGGCTCAAGTAGTAGAGCGCTAGCCTTGAGCTGAAGAGCTGAGGGACAGCGCCCAGGCCCAGAGCTCAGGTCCCACGACCAGACCTCCCCCCCCAAAAAAAAATAATCCATTAAAATAGTTCGAAGACATTATGTACACAACTTAAAAAAAAAAAAAGAGAGATTGGGAGTCTTACTATCTTGTTCAGGCTGGCCTCTAACTCACGAGCTTAAGCAATCCTAAACCATCAGCGTAGCTGAGACTAATTCTTAGCTGCTCAGTGGTAGCTAAGAATTTTAAAACAAGGGCTGGGAATGTGACTTAGTGGTACAGTGCTTGCCTAGAATGCAGGAAGCCCTGGGTTCGATTCCTCAGTACCAACTAAACAGATAAAACTGGAAGTGATATTGTGGCCCAAGTGGTAGGGTGCTACCCTTGAGCAAAAGAGGCTCAGTAATAGCACCCAGGCCCTGAGTTCAAGCCCAGGGCTGGCAAAAAAAAAAAACAAAAAACTTTCAGGAAATAGAAATAGATGGGTACATGAGTATGATACTTTGTCTACCTTGGTTTACATATGAAAATTTTTATTTAAAAGGCTGAAAATTAGCTGGCAGTATGGGTAGTGGTAAAAAGTGCCTAGAAAGTACAAGGTCCAGAATTCAAACACTAATATCACCAAAAAAAAAAGTTAAAAAAATTAAAGCTTAGCTGAGCACCAGTAGCTCACACCTGTAAACCTAGCTAATCAGGAGGCTGAGATCTGAAGATCATGGTTCAAAACCAGCCTGGACAGGGAAGTCTGTGAGCCTCTTATCTCCAATTAACTGCAAGAAAACCAGAAGTGGCATTGTGGCCCAAGTGGTAGAGTGCTTGCCTTGAAATGAAGAGAGCAGGGACAGCACCCAGGCCCAGAGTTCAAGCCCCACAACTGACAAAAATAAATGAATAAATAAAAATGAATAAATAAAATCTTATGGTGGGTGCTGGTGGCTCATGCTTATAATCCTAGGTATTGGGGAAGCTGAGATCTGAGGACTGTGGTTCAAAGCTGACCTGAGTAGGAAATTCCATGACACTCTGACCTATCTCTAATTAACCACCAGAAAACCAGAAGTAGAACTGTGGCTCAAGTGGTAGAACACTATCCTTGAGTGGAAAAAGCTCAAGGATAGCACCCAGGCCCTCAGTTCAAGCCTGACAACCGACCAAAAAAAAAAAAAAAAAAAGAGAGAGAGAGAGCTCTTGGGTTTGATATCCAGTACCCTCACCCCCTCACAGACACACATAATGAAAGTAATTTTTTGTTTTTGTTTTTTTGGACAGTCCTGGGCTTCTTTTGCTCAAGGACAGCACTATATCTCTTGAGCCACAGTGCCACTTCTGGTTTTTTCTGTGTATGTGGTACTGAGGAATTGAACCCAGGGCTTCAGGCATGCTAAGCAAGCACTCTACCACTAAGCTACATTCCCAGCCCAACAGTAGTTATTTTTATTAAAATCATTAACATGGAGCCATGTGTGGTGGCTGAACCAGCAGGATCACGAGATTGGGACTAGGCTGGACTGTATCTCATGAAACTATGTCTCAAAAAAGGTATTAAAACATTTATTAGGAGCCAGGCACCAGTGGCTTAGCCTTTAATCCTAGCTACTCAGGAGGCTGAGATCTGAGGATTGCAGTTCAAAGCCAGCCTGTGCAGGAAAGTCCGTGAGATTCTTATCTCCAATAAATCACTCAGAAAACCGGAAGGGATGCAGTGGCTCAAGTGGTAGAGCACTAGCCTTGAGCTGGAGAGCAGAGGGACAGAAGTCCGACCCAGAGTTCAAGCCCCACAACCAACAACAACAAATTATTGGGACTAGAAGTATATCTCAGTTGTAGAATGAGCCTAACAAGCTCAAGGTCCTGATTTCAAACCCTAGTTCCAAATTAAAAAAAAAAAGTTTGTGGGGCTGGTAAGGTGGCTCAGTGGTAGAGCGCTTGCCTTGCATGCATGAGGCTCTGGGTCCGATTCCACATAAGCAGCCACAAGTGGCGCTGTGGCTCAAGTGGTAGAGCGCTCGCCTTGAACTGAAGAGCTGAGGGACAGCGCCCAGGCCCAGAGTTCAGGCCCTGCGACCAACCAAAAAAAAAAATAGTTTATATTTTTGGAAAGACATTATGCCTTAATTCTCTTCCAAAAATGGTTCTGAATTTACTTCTCTTTTCTAGTTCTTTCTCTTTTTTTCCCTTATGGTAATAACACTTAATATGAGCTCCACCTTCATTACTTCCTAACACAGTACTGTATTGTTCTTCTTGCATAACCGAAACTTTATACCTGCTGAACAGCCACTCCCCAATTTCCCTTCCCACCAGTCCCTAGCAACCACCATTCTACTCTCCTAACTCTGTGAGTTTGACTATTTTAGTTACTTGGTTTTTGCAGTGCTGGGGATCAAACCCAGGAGACTGTACACAAAAGCAAATGTTTTAGCATGGAACTATAACCCGGTCCCTTGACTGTTTATAGAGACCCCACACAAATGTAAATTTGTCCTGTCACAGGCTTTATTTCATTTAGTCTAATGTCCTTTTAACCCTAAACTGTTTTGAACTTTCTCACTTCCCTCTGTCCTCCTCCTCTGTTCCCACCCAACTTATCTACTTCCTCTTGGTCCTGGTCCCAATTACTTCCCTCATTTTCTTTCCTTTCTTTTTTAATGTTGGAGACTGAACCCAGAACCTCATGCATGCTAGCTTATTTGACAATTAAGCTACTCTTGTAGCTACAAATCTCTTTTTTAATTTTTTTTTTTTTTGCCAGTCCTGTAGCTTGAACTCAGGGCCTGGGCACTGTTCCTGAGTTTCTTTTGCTTAAGGCTAGCACTCTACCACTTGAGCCACAGTACCTGTTCCAGCCTTTTCTGTTTATGTGATACTGGGAAATCGAACCCAGGGTTTCATGCATTCTAGGCAAGCACTCTACCACTAAGCCACATTCCTAGCCCCCCAAATCTTTTTTTTTTCTTTTTTGCCAGTCCTGGGGCTTGGACTCAGGACCTGGGCACTGTCCCTGAGCTTCTTTTGTTCAAGGCTAGCGCTCTACCACTTGAGCCATAGCATCACTTCTGGCCTTTTCTGTTCATATGGTACTGAGGAATCAAAGCAAGGACTTCATGCATGCTAGGCAAGCACTCTATCACTAAGCCGAATTCCCAGCCCCCAAACCTATTTTTAAGTGCCTACTTGATTCTTGCCCCAATAATTCTGCACTCTTTTTTTAATTTTTATTTTTTTTGGTCGGTCATGGGGCTTGAACTCTGGGCCTGGGCGCTGTCCCTCAGCTCTTCAGCTCAAGGCGAGTGCTCTACCACTTGAGCTACAGCGCCACTTCCGGTTTTCTGGTGGTTTATTGGAGATAGGAGTCTCACGGTCTCTCCTGCCCGGGCTGGCTTTGAACCGCAATTCTCAGATCTCAGCCTCCTGAGTAGCTAGGATTACAGGCATGAGCCACCAGCGCCCGGCTTAATTCTGCACTCTTGTCTCTGTAGATATTACCCGAAGAAGGGCTAAATGATCCTCTATAAAATCTCAAGAAATTCCAGGCATGGTGGTACATACCTGCAATGACAGAACTTGGGAGGCTGAGGCAGGAGGAGCATGAGTTCAGGCCAACATATGCTACAAAGAGAGAATCTGGCTCCAAAGGTTAAAAATCTTCTAAAAAAAAAAAATTGCGCCATCTTAAGATACTCAATACCTACTGAAAATGAAGATTGAAGCAAGCAACCCGGTGCCTTAAAAGAAAGTTATTTTGCTGTTTCCTCCAGCAGATGTCACTAGGGAGCAATGTGATATCATACAAAAGGACAACAGGTTATCTGGCACAATTTCTTCCACTGTGTGTGGTGGGGGGAGGAGGGGGTGCATGCGCACAAGCATTGGTCCTGGGACTTGAACTCAGGCCTTCTGTCCCTGGGGTTTTGTGCTCAAGGCTAGTGCTCTACCATTTCAGCCACAGCTCCATTTCAACTTGAAGCTTTTTTTTTTTTTCTTTTGGTCAGTTGTGGGGCTTGAACTCTGGGCTTGGGTGCTATCTCTGTGCTCTTCAGCTCAAGGCCAGTGCTCTATAGCTTGCCACTTCCGGTTTTCTAGTGGTTTATTAGAGATAAGAGTCTCACGGACTTTCCTGCCTGGGCTGGCTTTGAACCTTGATCCTCAGATCTCAGCCTCCTGAGTAGCTAGGATGACAGGCATGAGCCACTGGCACCCAGCTTTTTTTTTTTTTTTTTGAGGTAAGAGTGTCACACATTTTTCTGCCTGGGCTGGATCCTCAGATCTGAGTAGCTAGTGAGTAGCTAGGATTACAGGCATGAGCCACCGGTGCCTGGCTGCTTCCAAAAATTTAATTGATATTTGGAGATACTTTTATACAAAAATGTGAATCATTACACTTTACTTGAAAGGAAAACTCATTTCTACAAATAAATGAGCACAGATCTTGGTCAGGTCCTGAAGCCCTGTGCTATTCTACCAGCCCCACAGACAGCAGGCACAGCTTGGATCCATTAGTCAGCTAAGGGTGCCTAAACAAAATACCACAGATCAGTTGACATGAAGATAAGAAATTCACTTATTCACAGTTCTGGGGCTGATAGTCCACAATTAAAAAACCAACGGGTTTTGGTGTTTCCGGGAGCTAGCAAAAACTAGCTTGCTTTCTGTGTCCTCACATTTTGCTATCTCTTTAAGGACAGTAGTCCTAATTGCATTAAGACCTCCATTCTTCCTTTTTTTTTTTTTTTTTCCCAGTCCTTGGGCTTAAACTCAGGGCCTGGGCGCTATCTCTGAGCTTCTTTTGCTCAAGGTTAGCTCTGGACTGAACGCAGGGCTTCATGCATGCTAGGTAAGCACTCTACCACTAAGCCACATTCCCAGCCCCACTCTTTTCTATTTTCATTTCACCTCACCTTCTTCCCCCCCCCCCCCAGTCATGGGGCCTGGGCACTGTCCCTGCACCTCTTTGTGCTCAAGGCTAGTACTTTACCCTTTATCACTTGAGACACGCACAGTGCCACTTTCAGCTTTTTCTGAGCAGCTTATTGGAGTTAAGAGTCTCACAAGACTTTGCTATCTGGGCTGGCTTCCAACCACAATCCTCAGATCTCAGCCTTCTGAGTAGTCCAGTGTCTTTAATCATTTTTTTGCTCAAGGCTAATGCTCTACTACTTTAACCGTGTCGTGCAAGAGAGGCATTCATAGGGTACTTTTCTTCTTACAGCCTTGTCTAAGATAATCTCTAAAGCGAGACACAGAACAAGCTGAAGTAATATTCAGTCTGACCAGAGAATGCCAGTATTACCACTATAAAACTGAGGAAACAATTCAATTGGCTCTAAATGGCATAGAAGCAAATGCAGCATAATTTCAAATATCAAAAATACTTACCAAAAAATTGCTTTCATTTGCCGTGTGAGGTTAAAATGTGTTTGTGACTTTAAGTATCACTATCCCACAATACTGTGAAATTTGTGAAATTTATGTAATCACTTAATTAAAAAAATTATTTAAAAAATTGCTTTCATGGCTGGGAATGTGGCTTAGTGGTAGAGTGCTTGCCTAGCATGAAGCTCTGGGTTCGATTCCTCAGTACCATATACACAGAAAAGGCCATAAATGGTCTGTGGCTCAAGTGGTAGAATGTTAGTCTTGAGCAAAAGAAGCTCAGGGACAGTATCTGGGCCCTGAGTTCTTTTTTTTTTTTTTGTCGGTCGTGGGGCTTGAACTCTGGGCCTGGGCGCTGTCCCTCAGCTCTTCAGCTCAAGGCAAGCGCTCTACCACTTGAGCTACAGCGCCACTTCCGGTTTTCTGGTGGTTTATTGGAGATAAGAGTCTCACGGTCTCTCTTGCCCGGGCTGGCTTTGAACCGCAATCCTCAGATCTCAGCCTCCTGAGTAGCTAGGATTACAGGCGTGAGCCACCAGTGCCTGGCTTGTGCCCTGAGTTCTGGCCAAAAAAAAAAAAAATTCTTTCAGAGGAAATTTTATAATTTTAAACATTATAATAATGACAAATGGAAAAGCAAAGATTTTATGTATAATATAAACTATGTACAGATATTCTCTGAACTTGAAAACAAAATGAAGAAATCACAGGTGATTTTCCTTTTAGCACAAGACTGATAATACTATTTTTTGAGATGAGTTTATTTTCACTTAAAATTTCTTATTGTAAAATAGCTTAAAAGCTATATGTTATAAAAGAGAAAACATACCTGATACTCGTCTATTAAATCTGGTAGGAATTGGAACTGCAAAAAGAAAAAAAAAAAGCAACATTTAGTCATTATTACGTAACAATTCCACTACCACCACCCTCTTTTTTTATTTGCCAATCCTGGGGCTTAAACTCAGGGCCCTGGCACTGTTCTTGAGCTACTTTTACTCAAGGCAAGCACTCTACCACTTGAGCGACACCACCACTTCAGCCTTTTTTGAGTAGTTAATTGGAGATGAGAGTCTCACAGAATTTCCTAATCGAGCTGGCTTTGAACCATAATCCTCAGATCTCAACCTCTTGAGTAACTAGGATCACAGGTGTGAGCTACCAGCACTGTTGTAAATAATTCATTTTTTAAAAACCTTATAATTTTAATGTACTTAAGTTGGGTTAACTTTACTTCATGTTCTAATTTGTAAAATTCCAAATGAATAAGAAGTGTTCCAAGTTTACTATAATACCAAGTAATAAAAAATTTCTCTTTAAGCTGGGTGCCAGTGGCTCACACCTGTAATCCTAGCTACACAGAAGTCTGAGACCTGAGGATCATGGTTCAAAGCCAGCTCGATTAGGAAAGTCTATGAGACTCATCTCTAAAAAACAAACCACCAGAAAAACAGAAATGGTGATGTGGCTCAAGTGGTAGAAGGGTAGCCTTGAGCAGATGAGCTCAGAGACAGTGCCCAGGCCCAGAGTTCAAGCCCCATGACCAACAACAACAAAAAGTTTCTTTAGCAACTATCATCACTTCTATTTTATAGTAATTTAATGAGTATTAACTCAGTAAGATTAAAAATAATCATTTCTACTTTCTCAGATATGGGTGGGTTTTCTCCGGTCTTGGTCAATATATGTATCAAATAAACTTACCACTGATCTTTATGTTGGAAAATAATTTCTTACCTCTCTCTCATTTTTTTTTAATCTGTTGTGGGGTTTGAACTCAGGACCTGAGTGCTATCCCTGAGCTTTTTTACTCAAGGCTAGTTCTCTACCACTGTGAGCCACAGCTTTACTTCTGGTTTCCTGGTGGTTAACTGAAGATAAGAGTCTCACAGACGTTCCTGCCAGAGCTGGTAATCCTCAAATCTTAGCCTCCTGAGTAGCTAGATTACAGGTGTGAGCCAGTGCCCAGCTTGAAATGGTAATTTTAAAAGACACAATATTCAAAAGAGACTCATTCAATCTATAAATAAAGGTTTTGTCATAGGTTCTAAAATTATAAAATGTCAGCATTACAAAGTATCTATGAAGTCATCCAGTCTGGCTATGTAGCAAGCAGGCCTCCATTCACATGGCAGCTCTAACTGATGTCACCAGTCCACCTGACTCATCCTGGACTCATCTTTCACTACTTACATCTACTTCATTAACAAATCCATCTGCTCTCCCTCCCACTTCCTCTTGAATCTATCTTCCTCCATTCTCTATTGTTAGTCTAGTCAGAAGCACATCATTTTTTGCCAGTCTTCCCACTGCCAATCTTGCCCTACAATAATCCATAGTCATCAGAGTAATCTTAGCATGTAAGAGGACAATTTGACAGTCTCTGTCAAAATTTTTCTTTTCTTTGCTTTTCTCTTTTTCTTTTTTTTTTGTCGATCATGGAGCTTGAACTCTGGGCCTGAGTGCTGTCCCTCAACTCTTCAGCACAAGGTGAGTGCTCTACCACTTGAGCTACAGGGCACTTTCAGTTTTCTGGTGGTTTATTGGAGATAAGAGTTTCACAGACTTTCCTGCCCGGGCTGGCTTTGAACCGAGATCCTCAGATCTCAGCCTCCTGAGTAGCTAGGATTACAAATGTGAACCACTGGCACCCGGCTTTCTGTCAAAATTTCTAAGTATTAACTGCCTTTAACCCAGGAACAATTTCACTTCTAGGAATATGTGCTAAGCAAAACTCACATGTGTATATTCACACATACACACACACTGAAAGAAACACACACACATACATACATATATATATATGGCTATGTATATTATCACTATACATATAAAAATGTATACTTAAGTAAATGTATATCTACCATGATTGCTAACATATTGTATGGAATAGCAAAAAAGCTTAACAAAAATTGTCTAGAATAAATTAAAGAATGTTGGTCCAGTTAGGTACTAGTGGTCATGACTATAGGAATACCTAGCTACTCAGGAGGCTGAGATCTGCAGATCCTGGTTCAAAGACAGCTCAGGCAGGAAAGTCCATGAGACTCATCTCCAATTAACAACCAGAAAACTGGAAGTGGAGCTGTGGCTCAAACTGGTAGAACACAGGCCTTGAGCAAAGGATGCTCAGAGCCAGTGCCCAGGCCCTGAGTTCAAGCTCCCTGACACCCCCCCCCCCCAAAAAAAAAAAAGTTGGTGCAGCTAGAGTGTACACATCTATGCAGCCATTATGGCTCACATCAGTAATCCTAACTACTCAGAAAGTTGAGCCCAGGAAGATTGTGGTTCTAGGTCAGTTTAAGAAAAACAGTTTGGGGGCTGGGAAGGTGGCTCAGTGGTAGAGCGCTTGCCTTGCATGCATGAGGCCCTGGGTTCAATTCCTCAGCACCACATAAGCAAAAAGAAAAAAGCCGGAAAGTGGTGCTGTGGCTCAAGTGGTAGAGTGCTAGCCTTATGTTGAAGAGCTGAGGGACAGCACCCAGGCCCAGAGTTCAGGCCCCATGACCGGACCCCTCCCCCCCCCCAAAAAAAAAAATCAGTGCAGGCGGGGAAGATGGCTCAGTGGTAGAGTACTAGCCTTGAGCTGAAGAGCTCAAGGACAGTGCTCAGGTGCAGAGTTCAGGTCCCACAACTGACAAAAGAAAAAAAAATATTGGAAGAATGGCTCAATAGTAGAGCACTTGCCTAGCATGCATGAGGCACTGAGTTCAAGCCACTGTAATGTCTGCCCTCTCCCCACCCACCACCAAAAAAAAAAAAAAAAATGCCATAAACCTATAGAAACTGATATGGGAATGACCTTCGAGATACACTGGTATCTGAAAGCTGTATATCAGTTAAAAAGCTACAATTTTTTTTTTTTTCCGGTGGTAAAAGGAATTGAACTCAGGGCCTTGCATTTTCTAGGAAGGTACTCTACAACTTGAGCCATGCTTCCAGCCCTTTTGCTTATTTTTTGAATAGTATCTCACACTTTTTGCCTACGGCCAGCCTGGTACTTGATCCACCTATTTACACTTCTCATGCAGCTGAAATGTCAGGTGTAAACCATCACACCTAGCTTTCGTAGTTGAGAAGTCTTTCAAACTTCTGTCCAGGCTAGCCTCAAACTGTGATCCTCCTCCCACCTATATCTCCTGTCTGACAATGTCATGAAACTCCTTTTCCTACTGACCCTCCACTGCTAAACCCTCCACAGGCTTACTTTAAAGGACTATTATTTAGCATTTTCTATCACACATTTAACCTCCTCCCCCCAAATACTAGGACTTAAACTCAGGACTTCAAGCTTGCTTGGCTTGCTTGCTAGACTGGTGCTCTAATCCTTGAGTCACGTCTCCAGCGTGGCTTTCTTTTTGTGCCATTCCTGGGCTTGAACTCAGGCTCTGGATGCTGTCCCTGAGCTTTTCTGTTCAAGGCTAGTACCTGAGCCACAGCTCTACTTCAAGCTTTTTAGTGGTTAAATCTTATGGACTTAAGAGAATCTTCTCATATACTTTCCTGACCATGTTGGTTTCAAACTGCAATCCTCAGATCTCATCGTCCTGAATAGCTAGGATTATAGGTGTGAACCATTGGGGTAAGCCTTAGCTTTTTGCTGGTTATTTTTGAACTTCGATCCCCTGGATCACAGCTTCCAAAGTAGCTAGGATTTCAGACATGAGCCTCTAGTGCCTTTAGGCCTTACCTAAAGCTTAATAAATCAATAGCAAACTCTATCTAGATAGCAAAGAACAGTTAATTGTGGAGATAAAAATACAATAATAATAAAATGTATGTGCCAGGACCTGATGTAAACACTTTATAGGTATTAAGCCAATTAGTTCTTTTTTTTTTGGGTCCGGTCGTGGGGCCTGAACTCTGGGCCTGGGTGCTGTCCCTCAGCTCTTCAGCTCAAGGCTAGCACTCTACCACTTGAGCCACAGTGCCACTTCTGGCTTTTTTCTTTTTGCTTATGTCGTGCTGAGGAATCGAACCCAGGGCTTCATGCATGCAAGGCAAGCTCTCTACCACTGAGCCACTTTTCCAGCCCCCAATTAGTTCTTTGGGGGATGGAACTGGCATTTTGAACTCAGGGCCTTCTGTTTACTAGGCCTTGTGCTTGCTAGTAGGGAGGTGCTCTACTATGTTAGCCAAGACCTCAGCCCTTTTTGTGTCTTGTTATTTTGCAAATAGGGTCTGAAGCTAACATATATAGCTGATGTCTTAGGGAATTAGGATTTGTTTTCTTGGACTTTCACTTAAGATAAGCTATGTATACTGAGAGATTTAAGAAACCTGGGTCTCTGAATGAGCATGTGCAACATACTCCAGCTATTACTTTGGGTTGTGAACTGAGTGAGACAGCAAAAACAGAAATAAAACTGACATTCAACAACCTAAATCATGATACTTATGGGTTAATTATAATTCATAAGTAAAAATTCATGAGTTCATACTAATATATATTTATAAATAGCAATACATTATAGATATATACTATATATTAGATATTAATGATACATACTAATATATAAATGTACTTATATATATGTAACAGAATCGTTATGTAGGTAAGAAAAGAAAGCTCTTCCTTACAATAGACTTTCAGGCAATAAATACGAAGTGCTGGAATTTTGAAAATTATTATTTGGTGTCAGAGTGGCAACTCATGCCTATAATCCCAGCTACTTGCATGGGGAGGGGAGCTGATAGTAGGGTCTCATGTAAGACCTGCATGGGGAAAATGTAGTGAGAACCTGTCTCAAACAACAAGATGGGTGTAGTGGTACACACTTGTAATCCCAGATGTGTAGAAGATATGGTTAGAAGGATGAGAATCTGAGACCAGCTAAGGCAAAAAAGCAAAAAGTAACTAAAACA